AATGTGTTTTAATACCAAAAAAGTTAACCTTCAAATAATTATGTTAAGTTATGCATTCAATACTTGGTCAGGAATCCTTTTGCAGCCTTCAGTGCGGCGTGGCATGGAGGCAATCAGCCTGTGGCTCTGCTGAGGTGTTATGGAGGCCCAGGATGCTTCGATAGCGGCTTTAAGCTCATCCAGAGTGTTGGGTCTCAACTTTCTCTTCACAATATCCCACAGATTCTCTATGGGGTTCAGGTCAGGAGAGTTGGCAGGCCAACTGAGCACAGTAACACCATGGTCAGTAATACCAGTGGTTTTGGCACTGTGAGCAGGTGCCAGGTTGTGCTGAAAAATGAAATCTTCATCTCCATAAAGCTTTTCAGCAGATGGAAGCATGAAGTGCTCCAAAATCCCCTGTGTTTTATCAAGGACCTTGCCCTTGATAAAACACAGTGGACCAACACCAGCAGCTGACGTGGCTCCCCAGACCATCACTGACTGTGAGTATTTGACACTGGACTTCTGGCATTTTGGCATTTCCTTCTCCCCAGTCTTCCTCCAGACTCTGGTACCTTGATTTCCGAATGACATGCAAAATTTGCTTTCATCCGAAAAAAGTACTTTGGACCACTGAGCAACAGTCCAGTGCTGCTTCTCTGTAGCTCATGTCAGGCGCTTCTGCTGCTGTTTCTGGTTCAAAAGTGGCTTGACCTGGGGAATAAGGGACCTGTAGCCCCTTTCCTACACACGCCTGTGCACAGTGGCTGGATGGATGGATGGATGTTTCTACTCCAGACTCAGTCCACTGCTTCCCCCAAGGTCTGGAATCGGCCCTTCTCCACAATCTTCCTCAGGGTCCGGTCACCTCTTCTCGTTGTGCAGCGTTTTCTGCCACACTTTTTCCTTCCCACTGAGGTGCCTTGATACAGCACTCTGGGAACAGCCTATTCGTTCAGAAATTTCTTTCTGTGTCTTACCCTCTTGCTTGAGGGTGTCAATGATGGCCTTCTGGACAGCAGTCAGGTCAGCAGTCTTACCCATGATTGCGGTTTTGAGTAATGAACCAGGCTGGGAGTTTTTAAAAGCCTCAGGAATCTTTTGCAGGTGTTTAGAGTTACTTTGTTGATTCAGATGATGAGGTTAATTGCTCGTTCAGATAACCTTTTCATNGGATTATACCCACTATTCAAAACCACATGGTGTTTATTCCAGAATCAATTCTAGCATATAATCAATTATATGCTAACAAATGAGAGAACTACATAGAGTAGGATGTAGGATTGATATCAGATGTCTCTGATCAATTTATGAATGATTCACCTGAACAGCAGAAAGAAAAGTACTTTGTGGAGACTAAATGAAGGAATATTAAATAACAAGGGTCTAATTAGTGAAGTAAAAGAGGAGATAGTCTGATATAGAGGAAAATGATAATGGTGAAGTAGATCGATTGGGATGGGATGCCCTGAAGGCTGTAATATGGGGGGAAATGATTTCTTACACAGCTGAAAAAAGCTAGATTAGAGTAAGAGGGACTTAAATTTGTCATGTTAAACCTCCTTATGTTATAAAAACTTAGCAAATTGAGTTGGATGATCATAATAAATTGAGTTGGTCAGACGGAGGATACCAAACTGGCATTGAACTCAATTGTTTTAAGTAAAGTCAAAGTGAAAAGTTCCTTTAAGTTTTGAGTTAAATGAACACAAAACAGTAAGTTGTCATAACAAAAGCAAAATAATTAAGTGAAATTAATGTAAATAAGTCCATAAGATGAACTGCAGCACAAATACACTTTTTAGAGTGTATTAGCGTTTATTAGCGCAGAACTAACAGCTACATTCCAGTGTAGCTGGAACTGCTGACATGTCAGACAGTTGAGCCATCCCAGCTTTATGACCAGTGATGGCATAATTACTTTGAAAAAATAACTTTAATTGGATAACTGATTACTCCTAGAAAAGGAGTAATCTCCTAAAGTAACTAAGTTACATTAAAAGTAACTTTTTAGTTACCATATTTTCCGCACTATACTAGACGCTAGAGGCTGGAGTTACATTATGCATCCACTAGATGGAGCTGCACTAAACGGAATGTCAACAAAACAGACTCCAGTTGGCGAGGAGAGCCTTCCGCGACTGGGCCGGGGCGTGGCCGGACGATGGTCGCCCTTCTCCATTTGCGCACAGCATGTTCGTGTAGAACGTGGTGCTAAATGTTCTACACATCTGCAGGTCATTTTGCACCACGTTCTCCTGATTCTAGACGGTCAGTAGGTAGATAGGTCAGTCAAACTTTATTAGTAGATTACAAACCAGCGAGCTGACAGCATGCACCGTGCGCTTCTTCTTCTACGGGGGAAAATGAAGTCGGTGGTTGCTTACTGTAGACCTGTTGTGGCTCAATATTGGTCCATATATAAGGTTTATAAGGCGCACTGTCAGCTTTTGATGAAATTGAAGGTTTTTAGGTGCGCTGAAAGTACCGTATTTTCCGCACTCGGAAAATACGGTACTTTCAACAGATGCTAAAAACAACGCTCTGCCACCTGTGAAAATTACATTGATCTTTGCCAATACTTAATTGCAAGTTATTTTATAGTAGTAACATCAACAATGTGTCTCCATTTATACGGTTGAACTGAAGGGGAGATTGTTTAATAATTACAACAGTACAAAAAGAAAAAAACTTTAGTAATGTGTGCATGGTTATGTGTGTTCCCGTATTTGTCTGGAAAATTATAAATAGGATTTTACACTCCCCCTCCCACCCCATCGTCCAGGTTGTGTGTTACAGCCCTGCGTTTGGTGTCAGAGGGCAGCGCACAGAGCTCCTCCTGCCACTCTACAACTCAGATGTCCCGCTGCACAGATTTCTGACACTTATCTTAATATTAATAATATTAATATTAAGATAATATTATAATGGCGTTTAGTTGCACAACTTTACGGACACGTGCGTTGTTCATATTAGTCTCGACGTTTTCAGTTTTTTGGAGCGCAACGCAAAGCTCGAAGTCATTCACAGGTAATATGAATGATGTTGAGCTTCTTAAAGACACAGCGAACGGATCATCCGGGAAATGATGGACAGGGAGAGCCTGACTAAAACTAACTGGATGTCAGACAAATTCTGGGTTTTATGTCTGCTTATTTGCAAGGCGAAAAACCGCAAGCAGCGCCTCATTAAATCTGCAAGCGACTTTCGAAAAAAAAAAAAAAAAAAAAAAAAAAAAAAAACATGTCCGAAGCTGCTTATAATGGGACTTGGCAAGCGAAAATAGAAAATAGAGATGACGCCTGTGCACTTGTGTACATAGGAGGGGGGAAAAAAATGTCATGTAAACAAAAATAGTTCCTGTTTTATCAGCAACAAAATGCGTATCTCCCTCCTCCCTCCATTATTTATGTTTCTGTCGCTGTTGATAGTTATCAACAGCGTGTGATAACTGCGTGTGTAGGGTGGTGTGTAGAAGAAATAAAAATTAAATGACAAAAGAAATTAGTAACGCACAGTAACGCAAAGTGATTTTGATAAGTAACTGTAGTCTGACTACTGGATTTGAAATAGCAACGCTAATCGTTACTGAAAAAAGTGGTTCGACGTCAGTAATGTGTTCGACGTCAGTAATGTGTTCGACTTCAGTAATGTGTTACTAAGTAACGCGTTACTGACATCACTGTTTATCATCTCCATTATTTTAGTGGGCAACCAACCTATACACGATTCCTCTGTTTAGAATAAACGTCCACTATTTACAATTACATTGTCTGCCTTTAAATCCTGGCTGAACGCTCTGCGGTACAAACAAGCATGGATGTCTTTAATTTGGAATTTTTTCTTTAAAATTTATTATTTTTAATTTCTGTGAGACGACCTTATGTGCCCTAAAAACACCTTTTAAATAAAATATATAATTATTATTTTAAATACTGATACAAGCAAGGACTGTTGCCATGGTTATTGCTTCACATGGTGGCAGCTTCCGGGGATTTATACTAATTGACATGTGACAGGGTGGACCAGCAGCTGCACTCTATTTCCCACAAATTGGAATTTATAAAGGAAAGGTGTGTGTGTGTATGCAGCGCTTTATACATCTGAATTTTTTTGTGCGCCACACTTTTCTAAATTTTCTAAATTTGTCCGCAAGACAATTTTTAGTGTGAAAACTGTGCACTCTTTCATGCATGAGGCCCCTGTAGATTGATTGATTGATTCAGATGTACAGACCTGAACAGTTCCTCCTTTGCCTGAACAGCGTTGGCCTTCAGTTCCTCCTTCTCCTGCTTACTCTGCTGCTGAAGCAATTCCACATGCCGACTCAGAGCCTCGTTCTCCTGCTGCAGCTCAGAGACATGGCTTCCTGACAGCAGGAGGGACATCCATCAGACGGGAAGTCAAAAGCAGACTGACCTCATGACCTCTACTGCCTCATTAAATTATAATTAATTTTGTAATCATTTAATAGTTAACCCCTTAACCCACACTGGAACGTCTGGTGCCGTTTTTCCGGGACTGAGATTTAAGTGTTTAAACTCTGCCGGTGTCCACTATGACACTTTTATTGGGCAGTCTAGAACCTCCCCTTTTGATTGACACCGCATTCGACCAGTAATGTTAGGAAAGGCTTTTTCCGAGCCAAAAATATCCAGAGAGCGACTTGAGCTCGTTTTGACATGCCAGTATTATTTTTCTGGAATATTTCTGACTGGTCAACTCAGAAACTAAATCTAAAGCCACTGATGTGTAGCCAACACGTGTCCTGTCATAAGGATACAAGGCATTTAGGGGTTTATTTTGACAAGTCAAAATAAACTTGACTTGTCAAAATAAGTCATACCACGCATACCGTGTATGCATGGTATGTAACCACCATACTGCATATGCAGTGTATGCGTGGTTACATACACTTATTTTGTGTGTAACCATGCACAATGTATGCGTTTTTGCTGTGTCCAAATCACGGTCAAAGTCTGTGCACCCTCATGTGTTTACAGGACTAGCGTATCGTTAGAAGGGGGCAGCAGGGGAGCAAAGAAGGAGAGGGTACTGGGGAGAGGGCGCGCGTGAAGGAGAGAAGCTGAGAAGGGTCTAGTTTGGCTTCTAGTTGCTGTAGGACTATATGAAACTGGACTATATATATAGGACTATATGAGAGCAGACCTGTGAACACAGAAGGCTGGTAAGTCTTCTCATACTGAGCTGCAGGAAATCTTCCTGCCTGTGTGCTGCCGTCTGCTGCAGCAGAAGATTCCTGGGCTCTGCTCTCTGCTGAGTGGCTCTCTGATCGCTGGCGTGGCATAGACAGCATGCTCCTGCGCTCCCTCTGCAGCCTCTCTATGGTCCGGCTCAGCTCCTGAATGCTGCGGCTCTTAGTGGCCAGCTCCTGGTTCAGCCGCTCGATCCGGCCTCCAAATGCCGCCTCAGCTTGGTGCTGGTGCGGCTGTGCCTGGACGGGGGAACAAGTTTATAGGCAAAAGTATTCATCCCCATTGCAAACTCCCCACAGATCTGGGAGAAGTTAGTTTATCAATCACTGAAGTTTTACATTACATTGATGGATCCAATCTAATCTACATTACAATAATAAAGATCTGCTGCTGTTGTATCAACCTCCCAGACCTTTCAGGTCTTCTGGTTCTGGTCTGGTCTGAATCCAGAACCAAACATGCAGAAGATCTATTATATGATTTCATAATAGACCTTATTATAGTTCGAAGGCACTGAAGGACTGTTTCACCATAGAGCTATATTAATAAAGTAAATAAAGTATATTCTATACAATTCTGATGTATATTTGCTTAATAATTTTGATTACACCATTTGGCAAAATGTAATGTTTACAGGTCATTCTCAAAAAATTAGCATATTGTGATAAAGTTCATTATTTTCCATAATGTAATGATAAAAATTAAACTGTCATATATTTTAGATTCATTGCACACCAACTGAAATATTTAAGGTCTTTTATTGTTTTAATACTGATGATTTTAGCATACAGCTCATGAAAACCCAAAATTCCTATCTCAAAAAATTAGCATATAAAAGAAAAGTGTTTTAATACCAAAAATGTCAACCTTCAAATAATTATGTTCAGTTATGCACTCAATACTTGGTCGGGAATCCTTTTGCAGAAATGACTGCTTCAGTGTGGCGTGGCATGGAGGCAATCAGCCTGTGGCACTGCTGAGGTGTTATGGAGGCCCAGGATGCTTCGATGGCGGCTTTAAGCTCATCCAGAGTGTTGGGTCTTGCATCTCTCAACTTTCTCTTCACAATATCCCACAGATTCTCTATGGGGTTCAGGTCAGGAGAGTTGGCAGGCCAATTGAGCACAGTAACACCATAGTCAGTAAACCATTTACCAGTGGTTTTGGCACTGTGAGCAGGTGCCAGGTGATGCTGAAAAATGAAATCTTCATCTCCACAAAGCTTTTCAGCAGATGGAAGCATGAAGTGCTCCAAAATCTCCTGATAGCTAGCTGCATTGACCCTGCCCTTAATAAAACACAGTGGACCAACACCAGCAGCTGACATGGCTCCCCAGACCATCACTGACTGTGGGTATTTGACATTGGACTTCTGGCATTTCCTTCTCCCCAGTCTTCCTCCAGACTCTGGTACCTTGATTTCCGAATGACATGCAAAATTTGCTTTCATCTGAAAAAAGTACTTTGGACCACTGAGCAACAGTCTAGTGCTGCTTCTCTGTAGCCCAGGTCAGGCACTTCTGCTGCTGTTTCTGGTTCAAAAGTGGCTTGACCTGGGGGATGCGGCACCTGTAGCCCATTTCCTGCACACGCCTGTGCACAGTGGCTCTGGATGTTTCTACTCCAGACTCAGTCCACTGCTTCCCCCAAGGTCTGGAATCGGCCCTTCTCCACAATCTTCCTCAGGGTCCGGTCACCTCTTCTCGTTGTGCAGCGTTTTCTGCCACACTTTTTCCTTCCTACTGAGGTGCCTTGATACAGCACTCTGGGAACAGCCTATTTGTTCAGAAATTTCTTTCTGTTTCTCACCCTCTTGCTTGAGGGCGTCAATGATGGCCTTCTGGACAGCAGTCAGGTCAGCAGTCTTACCCATGATTGCGGTTTTGAGTAATGAACCAGGTTGGGAGTTTTTAAAAGCCAGAAATATTTTAAATATATGACAGTTTAATTTTTATCATTACATTATGGAAAGTAATGAACTTTATCACAATATGCAAATTTTTTGAGAAGGACCTGTATTGCATAACCAATAACTGCATGATGTAATTGGCCCTGTTGCTGAAGTGTGAAGCAGCATCGCTGACTGCTTTTCTTCAGCTTCAGTCACTCAGGCTGACCTTGTGTTTGAGCTGCTGCTGCAGAGACTCTATCTGGTCCTGCAAACGTTTGTCTTTCTGCTGGTGCCTGTCATGGACCCGCTGCAGCTCCTCTTCCAGAAACTGACATTTACACATCCATGCATCTGACCCCACCTCCGCCACTGTGGCTGCTGCTGCGGGCAGCTGTCTTTGTTCCAGCTGCTGTTCCAGTTCACATATCTGTTGCTCGTAGCACAGCTACAAAATACAACACACAAATACTCAGCAAGTGCCGGTCCTTTTCCTGACAAATTTCTTGCATCAAATTAATAATTTTCTTTTTAAGTTATTTGTTGTGATGAATGTAAATGAGCCAATCAAGAGCGTAATTTTTTTTGTATAAATAAGCATCTAAACGTGACAGAGGTAGGTGTCATAGATTTTCTCATGTTGCAGCTGCAGCTGTGACCTTGATCTGGTGGAACTGTTGCTCTATGGCTCTCAGGGTTCGCTTGGCCTCTTCATCGTGCCTTTCCAGCTCAGACTCCAGCCGCTGAATCCTACGCTCCAGCAGAACATTGACTGTGTTGCGGGGGTGCGTCCCGCTGGAGGTGGCCTTCTCCCCACCACCAGCTATGGCTGCAGCATAGATGAGGGCTGGTAGCGAGTTTGGGTTCCTGCTTCTCAGAATCTGCTCTAATTCCTTCACCTGGTGAGCACAGGAGCAGTTAGCTGTACTGCAGATGCATAAAGGTGAGTTGGCTAGTCTGATGAATGTGTTTTGTCTGGAGGAACCTGCCGCTGCAGATCCTGCATTCTCTTTGTGTCTGCAGGTCTGTCTCTGGCCTTCCTCAGCACATTGCTGCTTCTTTTGCCTACTTCCCTCTTCAGGTGTTCCACCTGGAACAGAAACAAGCTGCTAGTCACTGCTTGCAATGCTAGACTGGAGTTGACATTCTATAAATTTGGACTTGAGTTGTAGCTAATAGAACAATTTAGTTTTGTTCAAATGGTTCATTTGAACAGTTCTTTTTCAGCTATTGCAGCTATAACAATTCCTGAAGGCCACAATTAAATTATTTCCATGAAGGTTCTGCCTTTAAAATAACTCTCTTCACTACTGTTTCTTTGTTAATTTAAGAGATTTTTCCAACTCTTTCCTCCGCAGACGAGTTTAAGACCTCAGTCTGTGCCACCAACCAAACTATTTCAATGACCTCTACCATGACCTCAAATATCCTCCAGACTTACACCAGAAGCCGGCTAATAGTTACAAAAAGGAGAACATCAGTGGGAGAATTCATTCCAATTAAATTTTCAATTCAGTTTATTTATATTGCACTGATTCACAACAGTCATGTGTCAGGAACTATATAAAAAAGGCCATTCAGTCCAATCACACATACATCCCAAATTAACTTGATGTGTCAAATAACACATCAAGTTCAGCTCATTATTCATAGTTTATAAAAGTTTCTGTTTAAAGAAGCCCAGCAGAAAACTTAGTCACTGAGTGAATGCTTCATGAGGAGCATTTAGTCCTGAAGCAGATGGCAACAGTACAATCCCTTCTGTTGTCTAATTGACTTTACAGTAATCCCTCATACTCAGCGTACATGTAGTAACAGAAAAAAACTCGTTTAGCAAGAAGGAACCTCCAGCAGAATCAGAACCTGGCTGATCACTGGTCAGTGATCAGCCATGACCAACTGGAGGTTTGAGAAGATAGAGGAGAGAAACAAAAAGAAACAGAACCAAAGATTCAAGAGTACTTTCTGTTAGAGAAAAGGTAAAAAGTTAATTAAAATGACTTTAGGTCGAATGCTATCTAATTATTATACTGAAGACAAAGAGAGATTAAGAGAGAATATTTCCTAAAAGAAATCGGCATGCAGTCATATGTATTATTTGTGTATACATACTTGGATTCATTTTCAACTGAATGTCTGATGATACTATAACTCCAAACAAGAAAACACATCCTGACAGTTTGAACATAATCTTTATGAGGAGTCACGTCTGCAGGGAAGAAGTCCATCTGAGTCTCAGCTCAGAGACGAACACCTTTTATCTCCATGAAACTTTATATTTGCTCCTCCCAAACTAAAGACAAAATCCATCCACAGTTTGTTCTTCATTCCATAAACATGCAGCATCAGGGAGAATCCCCACCTGTTCTTTGAGTTGGAGTATCTCAGCCGTTGCTGCTTTTAGCCGGCCAGCATCTCTGTCCAGCAGCTCCTGGTTCTCTGCAAACCACCGCAGTTTGTTCTTGAGAGCTGCCACCTCCTCCCTGTGCTGCTGCAGGCCCTGCAGCTCAGATATCTCATCTGAAACACATCAAACCAGCAGTCTGTCTGAAAGGACTCTCAGCTGCAGGAGACCCAGGGTTCGAGTCAGGTGATGTAGATGTTTATCATGTAAACAAGTTTAGGACTAATACAAAGTCCAGCCATGAGCTGCTGTGACCTGAGGTGGAGAAGGTCTGCACTTTGGCCAGCTGCTGCTCTTGTTTCATCAGCTGCAGCTCCACCTGCAGGGACTGCTTCTCCTGCTCCAGCCTGCTGTTCTCCTCACACAGCCTGGCCTCGTTCTGCTGCACGCGTGCACATGCACACACACACATTATATTATATTATGGAAGATGACTGGGACCAGCACCATACAAACACTTTATCCACAACGTTAGAAACCTGGCGGGTGTTGATTTGAGCCAACAAGTCAGAGATGCGTTTAGTGTGATCCATGGCGCACACAGGCCTGGAGCTTTTTCTCAGCTGCTCCCTGATGAAGATGGAAATCACAAACATTTTTGTGAGAAAAAACATTTGACAAAAATAAAAGAGATAAAGCTCTCACAGCTCACTGCTCTGCTGAGCAAACAGTTACCTGGTGACAGCCAGCTGGCTGAGCAGCTCCTGGTTCTCATTAAACATGGCCTCCTGATTGGCTTTACTCCTGCTCTGCTCAGCCTTCATCTCTACATACAGCTTCTCATTCTCCTGTAAGACACATTCAATTTTACTGCACATTGGATAGGCCACTCCAGAACCTTAATATGCTTCTTATGGAGTCACTCCGAAGCACATCATATCCTGGCTGTGTGGTTCAGGTCATTGTCATGTTGGAAGATCCAGCCACGACCCATCCTCAATGCACTAACTGAGGTGAGGAATCAGCCCAGAACTACATCATTGACTACTGGTCAATGACGTGAAAAGAGCTGGCACCTCTGTTTCCAAAGTTACTGTGGGTAATATACCAAGACGTCATCGTTTAAAATCATGCATGGCACGGAAGGTTCACCTGCTTAAATCAGCACATGTCTAGGCCCGTCTTAAGTTTGTCCATGACAAGGCCTGTCACAGTAATCAATAAATCAATTAATCACACGATAAATTAAAACAAGCTCAATAATTTCCATTGGCATGATTTATCGCTTTCTCGTTTTCTCTCTTTCTACCAAAAACAGGATGATTTCATAATTTATTTTATTTGTTGTTTCTGTTGTTTTCTTGTGTTCTTGCATTCTTTTGTCATTACCATTAGTAGTTGAAAACGGTCTCAAAACAACAATATTATCATTTACTGCAAAAACCTCTGGGACAATGCATCATCCAGCAAAATTTGTTATTGTGACAGGCCTACCCATGACCATTTGGATGATCAAGAGGAGTCATGGGATAAATTTTGGTCAGATGAGACCAAAATAGAACTTTTTGATCTTAAGGTGCATGCACACCAAAAGTGTTTAGAGCGTCAGGCGCTTTTGGTTTACATTCAAAGTGTAAGTGGAGGTGCATTGAAGACCGTTATGGCGCGGTTCGAGCGTCTATCAAGGCGAGATTTGAACAGTTTGGAGCGTTTTGAGTGTTTGAAGCATCAAGAGCATTCAACAGAAAACAATGACTAGAGCTGACGTGTCTGACATGCCCTCAACATGCCTCCACATAGACTTTGAACCAAAGTCTATGTGGCGCAAAAAGCTTGGTGTAGAACAAAATTTCAAGCGTCTGCATTCAAAGTGCACATGCGTCGAACTTGAAGTGTCAGACGCATTTTTGACACGTGTAACACTTTTGGTATGAACGCACCATTAATTCCACTCTCTGTGTTTGGAGGATGAAGAAAAACAGCCCCCCAACCTACTGTGAAGCTTGGGGGTGGAAGCATCATGCTTTGGGGGTTTTTGGGGGTGTTTTTCTGCACATGTGACAGGACGACTGCACTGTATTAAGGAGAGGATGACCGGTGCCATGTATTGCGAGAATTTGGGGAACAACCTCCTTCCCTTCCTTAGGTGATGCGCCACAAGGTGACATCTTGCCCCAGTCCAAGGGAGATTGACAATCATGTTTAGCTTCTTCCATTTTCTAATAATTTCTCCAACAGTTGATCTTTTTTTAGCAAGCTGTTTGGCAATTGCCCCGTAGTCCTTTCCAGCCTTGTGGTGGTCTTCAATTTAGTCTCTTGTGTCTTTTCAATTTGGTCTCTTGTGTCTTTGGACAGCTCTTTGGTCTTAGCCTTGTTAGTAGTTGGAGTCTTACTGTTTGTAGGTAGTGGATAGGAGTCTAACAACCTAAACAGGTGCTTCTAATTTAAAATAATAAGTGAAGAGGAGGTGGACTTTTTAGAGGCAGACTAACAGGTCTTTGAAGGCCAGAATTTTTGCTGATTGGCAAATGTTCAAATACAACACAACACAGAACACAGAAATAAATTATTTATAAAAAAAAATCTAATTGTGATTTCTGGATTCTTTTTTTTTTTTTTAGATTATTTTAAGATGAAAATTTCAGACCCCTCCATGATTTCTAAGTGGAAGAATTTGCAAAGTCGAAGGGTGTTCAAATACTTATTT